GCTTTGATTACTAGATTCCCCTCCTTTCTTCATTAAGCGTCCCTTTTCTGCCTCTCTGTAACAGCTTGGCGTTTCTATAATGAGCATTGCAGGTGATTATAACCGTCCAGTGAAAAACGCTCTTCTTTTTCTATTTCAAATAGTCCATGGGCAGCTTATTCACTAGCGCTCAGTACTGTAGATTTGGAGAACAGAATACCACGTTTCCAGCCACATACTAGTGGGAGTTATTTCTGTAAGATAATGAATGATTTTAAACACGTATTCTAGTTTCATTTTGTTGCTGTGCTAAAACACTCTGACTGAAAGCAGCTTGGGGGAAGAAAGGGTTTATTTGGCTTATACTTCCAGGTCACATTCTGTCACTATCTGCTAAGGCAGAACACAGGGACCTGGAGGCAGGAACCCTGGAGGGATGTTACTTACTGACTTGCTCTCTGGTGTGTTCACAGGTTCACACTCAGCTAGCTTTCTTTTTTAAAAAAATTGTTTATTATTTTTATTTTATATGAGTGTATTGCCTGCGTGTGTGTAAGTACAGCCATGTTGTACAATGCCTGTGGAAGCCAGAAGACGGTGTTGGATCCCCCTGGAACTGGAGTTACAGATGGTTGTTAGCTGCCATGTGGGTGCTGGGACTTGAACCTAGATCCTCTGCAAGAGCAGGTAGTGCTCTTAACTGCTGAGTTATCTCTCCAGCCATTTGCTAGCTTTCTTATAGAGCCCTGGCTCACCTGCTTAGGAAACTGACACTGCCCACAGTGAGCCGGACCTTCCTACACCAATTAAGACAATAAAGACCATCCTTCATAGACATACCTGCAGACCAACTTGATAAAGACAAGTATTCAACTGAAATTCCTTTTTTTTTTTTCTTCAGGTGATTCTAGCCTGTGTCAAGTTGACAGTTCATGCCAATTAGGGGAAAGTCTAGTTTGCATTCCTTTTTCCAGGACTTTCCTATAGAGAAAGTTCTGGAATGATTGCTCGAATTGACAGTGAGTAATCCGTCTTTGCTTTTAATACAGGGTGTATCCTGGAGCACAGTGCGGTACATGATTGGAGAGGTGCAGTATGGAGGCAGAGTGACAGATGACTTTGATAAACGTCTACTCAATTGCTTTGCTAGAGTAAGTCAATCTTGGAGGGAAAATGCATGCAGATACATTTCACTGTGTTTTCCTTTTTTTTTTAATTTTTAAAAATTATTTATTTAATAACAACATACTTAGAAGAAGCATATCATTACAACACAATTGACATATTCAATAACGGTTTCCTGAGGTAGGATGCATCTCTTTCCAAACTGCCTGTAAATTTTTAGGTTTACAGTTGAATTATTACAGTTATACAATATTGTACTCAGTATAAACCCTAAAAGACATAAATTAAATGATGTTTTAACCTTTAAAAAGATCCCCATTTCATTATTATAATACACAGTTTCATATAGAAAAATTCTTTTTCAATGCAATTGACATTAAGATGTTTGCACATGCATTTCTAGCCTCTATACATCTGATTATTACTAGTCCCAGTCGGTTACTTTCTGAGCTCCTTAGCATCTGAGCACAGATATAAAGTCATCAGGTAGATTTCAATGGTAATGTTTTTCACATCTACTAATTATTGTTTTTTAATC